AGAGAACTCAAAAAACATTTAGACAGAAAATTAGCCCGTCAATAAAATCTCTTGCTAATCTGTGTGATCAGCAAAAATATGTGCTGTGTGTGTGTGTGTGTGTGTGTGTGTGTGTACTTGCCTGAAGTTTGTTCTCCAAGGCAGCAGTGGTGCTATCTCCACTGTTCTCATCTACCACCACCACCATGTGGGTCAGAGAGTTCACCCTCACCTGCTCAAGTTCCAGGTCCTCCTGCAGGAGCTTTAGCACACATTGGCACCCATCAGTATAAGGAATTCACAAAAATGCTGATGGTTTAATCACAGATTAAATTCAAGATTAACCTGCAAAAGAATAATGTGAAGAGAAAACTACGGACTGGAGAGAAATCATGAGGATACCACATGCTGCCAAACATGTTGGAGCAATTTTAGGGGATGGGCCTGTAAGTCTGTGAGTGGAAATGTTCAGTGATGATGTGAGAGCTGATAGTAGTGGAATGGATTCTGAAGTGTGCACAGCTACACTTGCAGCTCAAATTCAGTCAAATGCTAGCAAAACCGATCATGTGCAGGATGGCTGTAATTGCCAGGCAATGTACATTTTTTAGAAACTGTCTTGAATTAAAGCGGGAAGTCTTTCAGAAAGTTCAATCACACAACGACTGAATAATTGTTTGATATGTAGTACACCACCTTGTGTGTGGTGGAGCACACACTTGAGTTGCTTACTTGAAACCACCACCCCAGTTTATCAATCTTGACTTTCACAAAGTGTTGCAGAGATGCTGCTCAACCAAGACAGCCCCATAACATCCAGACCCTGAACTTTTACATTTCAGGGTCTGTATGCTTGAAAATGACGCGCCAAAAAGGAATGATTACAAACTCGGTGTAAACCATCTTGGTATCAAAATAAACATCACAACAAAGTAAACATCACAGCAGATACCATTGTGTCAAAGAAACATATAACCCCTAACCTCTATATAGCATATAGCAAAATGTGAAGTGTAATTTTGTCACGCTCTAAACAAAATTTACTGGACCAGCAAACGAAGGCCAAACTTGCAGTTTTGAAATCTGTAGATCTGTGCTGTCAGCAGAGACGCTGTCTGTGCACATGCTGTTGGGTGAACGGGGGAATCCGTACTTCGTGTTTACACCTTTTTGCAGGATCTTTTTTACCTGCTGTGTAGATGTTTGATGTTTTAGCTGTGTTTGGTGGTCATGGATATGGTTTTGTGAGCGTTTTGCTGACTTTTCTGTGGAAGCACAAACCAGCACAGCTCCTCCTCTGCCCCCAGTAAAGGGGGCATTGTGGTTGAACAGGTTAAGGAACTCAGGGTGAATCTCCTCCTCCCAAGGAGAAGTACTATCAAGTAGTTTTTTAAAACTGTCTCAGTGGCCTTTGACCTTATAATGGGTGAGTTGTCTCCCTCATCTCCACATTCTGCTTCCTATATGGAAGGTGTGACCCTGGGATTGAGGAGATCTTCAAATGTTCCAACAGCCACCTCACTATGTCCCCAGTAGAGGTCATCACACTCCAGCCCATGTGTGCAGAGCACTACCTCCCTCTTCTGACGTCAGCTGACGTCTTGGATCACGACTACATTGACCTCTTCCTCTTACTTCAGGCACTACTTCACCAAATGCCCGTCCCCTGGTCTGACTTTAGGGTGGAGTCCCTATAACCTAGTCTGGGTGAAGGTAACATGATTCCTCTATTTTTCTATCTTCGTGGTAGTTTATTGAAACCACTCGGTCTAGGACAGAGGTGGGCAATCTCAGTCCAGGAGGGCCGGTGTCCCTGCAGGTTTTAGATGTGTCCTCGAACCAACACAGCTGATTCAAATGGCTAAATTAGCTCCTCAACATGTCCTGAAGTTCTCTCGAGGCCTGGTAATGACCTAATCATGTGATTCAGATGTGTTGACCCAAGGTGAGATCTAAAACCTGCAGGACACCAGCCTCGTGGACTGAGATTGCCCACCCCTGGTCTAGGAGCTATGCTTTGGTGGTAAGATTCAGTGGGCTCAGGATCACTGCAGGGATTTTGCTTTTTCTGGTCACCTCTTGGCTTCAGTGATCTCCAGCTTCCACCAGGCCATTTTGCAGCCAGGTGTGAAGCGGCAAGGATAAAAGTTAGTACCTCCAAGTATGAGGCCATGATTCTCTATGAAGGTTCTGCTATGGATTTACTGCTGTCCTCATAAGCTACAAGGAGTGGAAATGAGAGGCTTCAACATAACAAATTAAGTAAAGGAAATGTATGAAAAACACACTCTTACTGCTGCATGATTCACACAGAAGATTATTCCTCATAGACTTCAAAAGAGTGGTTAATGTGTACACACAGGTCATTCCAGCTCTGGAATAACTTTATTATAGAGATTTTATATTTCTTTACCTTATGAATGACTAAAATTAGGCCACGTGTTTCAAAAATCTAACTTTTAGTAGATATGGCAACAACTCTTTTTGTGAGTTTTATGGTTCCAGTGCTGGTAATGCAGTAAGGCAGTGGGGTAATTAAATTTAGCAAGATGAATGCAAATGTTTTCAATGTTCATGTTCAGGCAACAAAAACAACAACGGAGCTGGGTAAGGAACAGATTGATGGGTAAACACATGGACAGAAGTTCACACACCATGAGGAAAGATGCAACAAAGAAGCGAGGGAGATGCAGATAATATGTACATAGGAGGAGATTCGAGCAGAGTGGACACACCTGCCACAGCACAGCTGAACAGAATCTGACAGACAAGACACAGGAAGCACAACTGAACATGACCCACATGAGACAGAGGACTATCAAAATAAAACAGTATGTAATGCACACGCTGAGAGCCAGATAAGACACGTGAACTTGACAGAGGGAGCGGACATAAACAGACATGGAGACACGACTGACTGAGGAGACAAAAGGATGAAACAGATAAATACTGGGAGCAGGACTAAAGATGTATTCACCAGACCAGACAGGGAAAACAAATAATCACAGAGACAGGACACAGAGAGACGAGACAGACACAGGGCATGACCAGGGAGACAAAAAGCGAATGTGCATGAGTCTATATCCCTGATACATTCAGGGAGGTTTCCCTAAACATGCCGACACACTTTAAAGACGATTGTGTAATCAGCAAGTTTGGTTTTGATTATCTACAAAGTTTTATTTGAAACTAAGATCTGTAGACGCTGGATTGGAGCCACCCTTTTTTAATTCTTTTTGAAATCAAAAGCTTAATGGCAAGACTGTAAGGAATGTATTAATCACTTTAATTGCGAATGACAACTTGTTGTGTAACATTATAAGGAAAAAGGGGACAACATGGCTGGATTAGTAAAGCAATCTTTCAAAAACAAGGATCAGCCTAGTACACGCCCACCTTGTGTTCTTCTACTCGGCGCTTGATGTCCTCCAGGTCAGGTCCCAGTGCCTGAGCCCCCATCTTCTTAATACGTGCTTCTGTCACATCCAACCAGTCTGTGAGTTGCTGCAGCTGCTCATGCTGCAGGTCCATTAGAACTTCATGGAGTCTGGGAGTGAGATGCAATTCAGTAATGTCTTATTTTGAAACCACAGCAGGTATTTACATAGCTATTTTCTAGTCTTACTTGTTGCCAAGTGTTCATCTATCTCACTTCCACACAGCCACTTTGAAATCATCAGTTAAGCTAACATACATGTCTTTGGACTAAGGAGGTGTGGCGTGGTGGCAGTGTTAACCTGACAGTGCTAAACTAACACTGGTGGATCATGCTACCGTGCTATCCACAGAGACAAGGGTTTAAACCTCAGGCACTAGCGATTAGAGCTGATTTACTTGACTGACACTTAGTATCTTGTCTTAGTGGTGTGGTGTTAGTGGGATGACATTAGTTGTTAGATGTGTTATTAAAACATTTTTTAAATGTTTTAAAACAGGAAAGTGAAGAGTGGTAAAGCAGTCTTTTTGAGAACTGTATTAGGTCAAATTACATACACTTATCATGGGCATGAGTGTCATGGAAATGTATGTTTGGAGGCGTAAAGGTGAGGCTTTCCACTAGGGTTGGTGGAGTGGATGGAACAAGGACTTTCTCCAACTTCACCCAAAATCAAATGGACTTCTTTCTACTATCAAAGAGCTTTCTATCTAACATTCACACTTCAATGGATGTATTTGAGAGCAACTTGTGCTTAGTATCTTGCTTAACCTGTTAGCAGTCGGACGTACCGCCCACGGTACATTGGATGGTTTAGGGGACTAATTGTAAATTTGTAGGACTGCTAAGGGGATATTTGGCAAGCAGACTGGGAGAGCCAGGAATTGAACCACCAACCTTCCAATTAGTAGGTGACCTGCTCTACTTCAAGAGCTTCCAACAGGACGATGATGCCAAATACACATCAGAATTGGTTTTGAAAAGGAAAATGAAGCTTCTGGAATGTTCTTCTCAAAGCCCTGACCTCAACCCTACTGAAAAAATTGTGGAGTATGGATGGATGGCTTAAAAGCCTGATCCCGGCCAAGAAACTAACCAGTTTAAATTAAATCTATTTTTAAGAAGTGTCCACAAATATACAGACACAATTATGCCAGAAGCCTCTCGATGACAATCATTAAGTGCACCTTGCTAAGGCATGTTTGGCCAAATATTAGTGGCAGTCTATGCATATATTTGAACCTGCATACTAATTTTAACCCTGTGTGGATTACAGAAAATAAAGATAAATAAAGAAAACTTGTGCACCCAAATATGTACGCATTACAATGATTCCACCCTGGAAAACACAGCTGAACAAAATCAAAGAAACTACATTGGGGATTGACATTCGTGTCCATGATGAGTGTAAAGTTCTGATCACAGCTGTATATCACGCCTTATAATACTGGTGGTGCTGAAAAGGGTTTTACAGTCTTCGAGCCGCTTTCAGCAAAGATGCAAGATTTTGAGAAGTGAATAGAATTTCATAAAGTCACAATCAATGTTAATCTGTATTGGTGATTATCAAAGCTCTCACTGATGCAATCTCTGATAATCACCAATGCAAACAAGAAACCTTTTTAGACCCATTAAAGGCAAGGCAAGTTTATTTGTATAGCACAATTCAACAACAAGGTGATTCAAAGTGCTTTGAAAATAGTCTCAGTGGAGACTACTCATCATGTTGCTTTAACTAACTTTAACTGATGGAAAATGACTTAAAGATGTATCTTCTAAGAAACTACTTTCAAAATATCACATGACCAGGCTTCTGTCAAGATCAATAAGATAGATGTGAGTTTTAATATTGTTAATTGTACTGATGCTTGTTTAATGTATGTACCTGCTCTGTCGCTCCATGCTAGCGACTCTTAGGTGCTCCCACCGGGAGTTGAGAAGGTTCATTTGCTCTCTGACTTCAGAATCCTCCTCTTCACTCAGGTTTCCTTCCCCCAGCAGGGCAGCACCGGCCCGGAGGACTCGTCCTACACTGCTCTGGTGTGTTGTCAGCTCCACCATATACCCCTGTTATTAAAGAAACAGATGGAAGTATTGCACATGCATATTCACAGTAATTCAACTATTTTTTAATCCTACAAAGGTGAGGGGGTACCTCATATTACTATGGCACCTACTGCTTCATCTATTTTTATTGAACACTTAACTGCAATGTGATCCTTCCAGGATATCAGAAGGCAGAATGGTCAGAGTAAGTGAGTGCATCAAAGTCCTAGAAGCTCCCATTCAGTACAGTTAATGCATCGCGTACAGTTAAAGCTAAAAACAGCTGCCCATTGCAAACAGCTACTGCAGGAGACCAGCTGTTTCCATACCAGATATAAAATGCTTACAAACAACAGATTTAAAAAACTTTTCCATGCATAAAGTTTTATTACAGTAAGATATCCATATCTCACAGATTTAACTGACGTAACTGCAACTGTTTATTCTGACTGTGACTTAAACCCTTTTCATATTTCTGCTCTTTGATCACATTTCACAGGCAAAATGTGACGTTGATACCGTAGATTTTTAACGTCCCCCTTCACATCTTATTTTGTGAAACTGTAAAATTATTTTTTTAGCTATTGGATATTCTATGGATTGATGACATCGGAAAATCTAGAGGATCAGTGATAATCAATACATTTTCAGCTGCTGTGACACAAATATGAGAGTCCTTTAAAAGAAAAAAGTTTTCTAATCCTGTGCACACGGAATAATAGCTCAGTGTTATTTGGGCATTTCACCTTTAATTATACAGTTCCAAAGATCCAGCTGTGAAAACATAAAATCCCTTTAGAAACGTAAGACAGTGCAAACTTTTTATTACCAGCTGTACTTTAGTTTGTCTAGTGTCCTAAACTGTATAAACTATTCTAGGGAGACCAACCGTCCTCTTTTCTGCACTTGTTGATTTGTAAATGCCCCTATGACATGTTTTCTATTTCACCATTCACTAACAGCACAGAGAAGGTGCTGTTTAAATATGTCAAAGTTTTCTTTAAACAAACAGTATTACTAAAGCTCTTCATGACCGTGTCCTATTTTTTGGTCACCCTAAACTATTCTGACAAAAGAATTTAAAATTCTATTAACTCTAAAAAACTCACTGTTCAGCTGTGGGAATCCTGAAAATAAGTGTTGAATCTTAAAAAAATAATACAATACATTTATTTAATTTAAAAACCACAATCCAGTAGGATTTCACTAGTCCTACCTCGTGTGTGTGAAACTGCTCCTTAACCTCCTCCACATGGTTGGAGATAGGAGCCTGGCCCTGGAGACCATCTTCAGCAGACAGAAGCCATGTCAAGACCTTAAAAGTTACATTTAATTAACATAACAATAGCATACTTTCTTTTTTTTTTCTAAAATAAAGTTTTTTTCTTCTTCTTTCTCTTTCATTTTCTCCCTCTAGGGGTTGCTATATCACATCATCTGTTTCCATCACACCAACCCTCTGCATTTACTCTTTCACTACATGCATGAACTTTCTCTCGGGTCTTCCTCTTTTCCTCCTGCCCGAAAACCCCATTTTTAAACATCATTTGCCCGATTGATCTATCTGCACTATTGGGTTGAAATCAGAACTCTGTACATACAAGTTCTTCTACACTCACTGGCACATGTCTTTATGGACCTTGCTTTGTGCACTGGTGAGCAGTCATGTTGGAACAGGAAATCCTTGCCACAAAGTTGAGAGCATGAAACTGTCCACAGTGTCTTTCACTGAAAATAGGGCGCAGAGTCCATAATCTCCCACCAAACTTGGCACGATGCAGTTAGACAAGAACCGTTCTCCTTGCATCCACCAAACCTCATCTGTCTCATGTGTTGGATTGCAATACAGAGAAGTAGGATTTGTCACTCCAGAAAACACGTTTCCACTGTCCAGCGTGCTTTATACTACTCCATCTGACACTTTGCATTGGGCTTGGTGATATAATGCTTGAATGCAGCTCCGTAAAGATCTCTACGCACTATTCTTTAGCTAATCTGAAAGCCACATGAAGTATGGAGATCTGTAGCAATCAACTCTGCAGAAAGTTGGCGACCTCTCTGGACTATGTACCTCAGCGTCCACTGGAAAATTTAGTAGAGAACAGGTGGCATCCTATCATGGTACTGCAAAGAAAGTCACTGATTTCCTGAAAGCGACTCATTCTTCCACAAATGTTTGTAGGAACAGTCTGCATTTAAAATGCACTGCCCGGCGACAGTGTGCCATCGAAGAAACCACACGTTTCTTATACACTGGGAGATGTCGCATGCAGGAAGGTGGTGACTCACACACAGACACACCCACGCACACACAATATTTGCTTCTGTACATTAAATGTTTTATAAAGTAGATATGAGTCCTTTATCATCACCACATTGTCTTACCTCCTCCAGTGCAGCCTGGTAGCTTTCCAGGCTGGTGGTTCCTGCAGGCAGAGGACTGAGACGCTGCTGCAGCTCCTCTTGGCTGGGATCCAGCAACTAAACAAGGCAGCAACAGGTTAGAGATAACAGGCAGAGACAGAGTCCGATGGTGGAGATGACGTGAGGAGAAACAGAAGAATGGAGGGCACCAGGGTTAAGAAGTTGAGGGGAAAAGAGGACAGACAGAGATGATAAAACAAGCAGAATGTCAAAAATCAGAGGGGTGAGCAGGGAGGGATCAGGACGAGTAGAAAATATTAAAGGCAACATGTGAAAGAAATGTGGGAAACAGAGGCGATAAAGAGAGATAAGGAGAAGCCTCTGAGTGTCAGATATTAATGATGATGATGATGACAAGCAGTTTTAAACTTTCTCCAAACTTAACTCGTCCTCTCTCTCCCCTTATCTCTCTCTGTGTGCTCACTTCTGATCTAGACACCAATAATTCTCTCTTTTTATCTCATCTCAGTGCTGTTTCTCTCACTTCATTCTTCTCTCTGGTAATAAGGTCATAAGATGATTCAATAACTGCCAACCACAGTCAATGCTGCCGTCTCTTAATGTCTATTTTGTTCAGATCTGTGTGACGGTAGACGCATAAATGTTTAGCCTATCTAACATAAACAAATAAAAGGAGTGTAGGGTAAAAGTGTAAGGGTGTAAGGGTGTAAGGGTGTAAGGGTGTAAGGGTACGCTACAGAAGAGGAATTCTGGGCCCACTTTCTTTTTCTAGTGGGCCTAATCCTCTTCTGTAGTAAACCCTACACAATCTCGTTTCTGACTTTTTTATTTTCTATTATTAACTAATTGATAAATTTCTTATATTGGTTGATCCTACCTGTGATAGTTATACACTGTTTGCCCAAGTTTTCTTTCTTTTCTGTTTTTAATTATCGTTGCTTTAGCTGTTTTTACTTTTTTGTGTTCTGTAACATACTTTGGAACTATGTTTAGAAACTGCTTCATATTTTAAGTTTTACATTTATTATTAGTTCATCCCCAAAAACAACAAAAGGGGGTGAAAAAAGATCAAATACTCACAGTTGGGTTAAAGATTGAACTGTCAAAATCAGTATGAAATGTTTTGTAGCTTTGTTTTTCTTTTTCTCAAGATGCAAAAACGTCAGTAGAAAAATTGCGTTTTCTATTGTCTATAAAATTATAGTTGTTGATAGCTTGAACAGCCTCTTGATGTCACCTCACAATAAATATGCTTGTAGGTTCACCTACTAGATGTAAAGCTCATGTGACAATTGATTTATTTTCACACAAGATGAAAACAATAAGAAGAGGAAGCTTTAGACGTCTATTTCTGAGTTCAGTCGTGGGTTTGATTCGGTTTAGCTGACTCTGTCTAATGTTCAAAAAAGCTGCATCAGCAAAGTCTCTGAATTGTTGTAACAACCAAAGATAAAGACGAAACTCTATACAACAACGAACCAGCCTTTTTTATTTTTATACTTGTACGCCAAAAAACATGATTTCATTCTGCTTGTGCACTTATGGGCCTTTAGTTCTTACACTACAGCAAGAGGAGCAGCATGTGCTCATTTAATCAAATAGCTCCCCTTGACTTTCCAAATATTGTTGAATAGAACGGTTTAAGTAGGTATGTCAGCATGACACATCTACTTATCTGCAAGTTAAGCAGATGTGTCAAGAATACTGAATATCTGCAAGTATTGTTGAGCCATTGAATTAAACAATTCATGAGAAAATTGCTACATATAGCTTAACTCCATCCACATGGGTTTGACTTGACACTCAGATGATCTTTTAAACCAAGTACAAGCTTGTTCTAATAAAAGCTTCAAGAGTGCTGAAAGATCAAATAAGTAATTTATCCTTGTGTTTAGTCTGTGCTCTGTCGTGAAAACAACTATCCATCGTCCTGACCAACGCCAGATCCCTCACAAACAAAACGGAGGAGCTTCAATCAGAGATTTACTACAACCGTCCGGGAGTGTTGTCTACTGATTGTAACCGAATCCTGGCTCCATCCAAAAATCCCAGATGCTTCAGAGGAGGTACCAAACTGGTCCTACAGGTCCTACCTCACAACCTAACATTAGCCACAGTTACCATTACCATTTAAAGTTACAGTTACCATTGTTTACACCCCCCACCCACCCCACCCTATGCTAACGTTATCTTAGCACTCAAGTGCCTTCAACTTATTATCAGTAAACAGCAGAGAGAGCGCCCAGAGGTCATCTATACTGTTGCTGGGGACTTTAATAAGGCATGTTTGAAACTGAGGTGTCTTACCGGGGGGATAGGACACTGGTCCATGTGTACAGTAACATCGAGCAGGCCTACAAAGCAACACACCTCCCCCACCCAGGACAATCTGACCACCTCTCTCTGCTTCTCGTCCACCCCCTGTCCCTGAGGCTGAGGCACAGTTCTCTGTACAGCACTGCCTGAGCCAACCTGGGCATCAAACAAGCTAAGGAGGCCTACAGCAGGTGGGTAGAGGGCCTCCTCACCTACAACAACCCCCATCAGGTGTTCAAAAAGGCCAATCCTCCAACCCCCAACAGCAGCATCAAAGTAGCAGAGCTCAACACTTTGTTTGCCCTGCCTTATACGATGGAGACGAGAGACAGACCGACTTCAGGAGGCACAGACAGGTCCGTTCCCCTCTGATTATAAATGCAGAGCGGGTGGAATCTGTCTCCACCTTCAGTTTCTGGGCACCAAACACCTCTGCTGATCTCACCTGGACCCACAACACCAACACCCAGGTAAAGAACGCCCAGCAGCGACTGCACGTCCTCCATGTCCTGAGGAAAAATAACCTGGACTAGAATGGGCCATCACAGGTGACCCCTTGCACCCCACCACCTGTTTGACCCACTGCCCTGTGGTCAGCGCCTCAGGTGAATCAGGTCCCACACCTCCAGACTCTCAACCAGCTTCTTCTTCTCGCCCTTCTCACTGTTAACAAACGATCCACCACACCAGACCCCTGCTCACCCACCTCACCACTCTAAGCCATGGTCTGAGTAACCCCCATCACTCTGGCCGCCCACACAGGGACTCCATTCAAATCTAATCCTTTTACTTTGCACTACTTCTAAGAACCTTACAACTTGTTCTCTATTGTGCGCCTTTCTCTTGTTTTGTATATATTCCTCTTGACTGCCAACATTTTCAAAGTTAAGTAAAGTCAACCGCTTTCATCTACAGCACGCTGACAAAGAACTGCGAGCTGTATCACTACTGATTTAAAGTGAAGACACAAACACACAGTTAGCATAGCTTATGACTTGATTTATAAATGATTGAAATTAACACTGATTAGAAAAGTCAATGCATTTCAAATCGTGATTTGCATTGAAAACGTGATGATGTAAACACACCGCAAAACTGTACACTTCAAGTTTTTCTTCGGGTTAAAATTTCAAAACTAAAATTCACATGTTTAATGCATTTTTAAAACATCACAAAAACAAAGAGCATTTTTAAGAAAGGGACACATTCTGGGGACCAGACAGAACAAAAACCAAACATGCAGAGACAGATGGGGAACTGGCATCAAGTGTTAGTGTGAGACACGGACCTGATCAGTAAAACGCCTCCTCTTTTGCTCGGGCGACTGGACATATGCAGCCTGGGTGTAGGCATAGCTTTTATAGCGAGGCTGAGGGGAGGGGCTCTGCACTCGCCCCTGAGCCACATTCACTGTAATCTGAGAGAGGACAGACAGAAAGGAAAAGACAGAGGCAAGAGAGGAAGAGAGGAAGAGGCAAAAGAATGCAAAAAGGAAAGCGAAAGATCCAAAAGCTAAATTAAATAATGGCTTTACCAAGTTAGTGAAAATGTGCAGCCCTGAAAGAAGTATTCACATTCAGCCACTATTGAATGTTATTAGTACATTAAATAGCTATTAACAGTTGTTATTACTACTGTAATTGTGCTTCAGACTGGGCAAAATCCCACAGGCGAGCTCTGTAAAGCAACCAAGGTATAAGGTAACTCTTGCTTGTCATTTGAATAAATGGATGTCGATTCTGTAATGTTTAAGCACCATGGGAAAACCGCTGTTACTAACTCCTGCCATACATAAAACTGAATTAAATTAATCCGGCTATTATCCCTCTACAGCATGTAATAGACCTGGAGGTTCACTACAGATTACTGTGTTAGTGTCATGTTTCTCTTTCCCCGGGTGTAAAAACAAAGATCTCGTCACACAAGCCACGAGCTTTCCCTGAAACTAACCACGCCCAAACTTAACCAAGCAGCAGTTTTTAAAAAACATCAATAAATAACCGTCAACAATCTTCATGGTGTCCAGCAATGACTTGTGCCACCTTGCACCTCGTATAGCTTTGCTTTGCACACTAGCATATGGGAGTAATAATAACTCATTCAGCGCTGAATTCAAAATCTCACAGAAAAATCAAGGCACAACTTAAAAAAAAAAAAACAGTCCAGTGTAGCCTGCCTGGGACGGGATTACCGGAGTGGATCGGGCTGTGGCCAGAGGCAGAGTTCCAGGTTCTACCAATCCCTGGTTCCTGAATCTGGCTTGTGGTACGTGGAACTCCTGGTGGGGAAGGAGTCAGAGCTGGTGTGTGAGGTTGGGAGATATGGACTAAATATAATCAGGCTCACCTCAACATGAAGCTCAGGCTCTGGAAACAATTTCCTGTGAAGAGGGCTTGGACTCTCTTCCACTCTGGACTTGCTATAGGTGAGAGATGGCCATAACGAACACCATGTTCAAGAAGTAGGGTCTTTATCACTGCACATGGCAGTAGGAGACCCTAGGTCACAATCCATGATTGATTTTGTAATCATGTAATCAGATCTGCAGCCAAACGTCTTGGAGGAGCTGATCTGTCAACCGATCACCATCTGCTGGTTAGTTGGATCAGGTGGCAGGGGAAGATGCTGGACAGACCTGGCATACCCAAACATATAGTGAGGTTACGCTGGGAATATCTACCAGAGCCCCAGCCCGTGAGAACTTCATTTCCCACCTCGGCAGAGCTTTGATTGAATTCCAAGGATTTTGGTGAGACCCTGGAACAAGACTTTGAGTTGACCTCAAAGCAAGCTCAGACAACTGAAGAGGGGGAAGACGGTGCTCTGCTGTTTTCAGTGTAGCACGGCCTGTGGATGGAGTCAAGTGGCAGAAGGAATAACTTGAGTGTCTCCCCAATCCTGTAATGGGAGCAGAGACTGAAGATGGGAGATTTCCTTCCAACCTACGCCAAAGTGCTTGCTTATAGGGGGTCATGTGATTGTTGGGGTTTTCTCTGTTGTTCTTGTATTATTGTAGAGTCTTTATCGTACAATATAAAGCGCCTTCAGGCAACTATTGTTGTGATTTGGCACTATATAAGTAAAACTGAACTAAACGGCCTGTATTTGTATAGCGCTTTTCTAGTCCCTAAGGACCCCAAAGCGCTTTACACAACCAGTCACACACACAGGTGATGGCAAGCTACATTGTAGCCACAGCCACTCTGGGGCGCACTGACAGAAGCGAGGCTGCCGGACACTGGCGCCACCGGGCCCTCTGACCACCACCAGTAGGCAACGGGTGAAGTGTCTTGCCCAAGGACACAACAACCAAGACTGTCCAAGCCGGGGCTCGAACCGGCAACCTTCCGATTACAAGGCGACCACCCAACTCTTGAGCCACAATCGCCCTAAACTGAATTGAATTGAATTTGACTCGGGTGCTTTCTGGATGCATCCTAAGTTAGGTGTTTCAGGCATGGTTTATTGGGAGGACTCGTTGGAGAGATTATATGTAATCCTATCCATATGTAACCCTAACCCAGCTAAGCAGTAGAAAATGGATGAATAATATAATGAATAATAATAATACGATGGTGCTTTTTCTTTAAGAGCTATTGCTAACTTTGTAAAACAAACTATTTTAAGTGATTTTATTTTTTAAGGCACTTTGTCAGTAATCACATTGCCAGAGAACTGTTTGTGGATTTTCCCAGAAATAACTGTTTTTTGTAATCGGCTGTTTCAGACAGTACAACTAAACAGAGGCGTGGCCTAAGCAAAGGGCTGGTTTATGGTAATCAAAACTGCTTATAGTTCCCCTCAACATGTTTGCTATCCAGGGACATGGTTGTCATGCTCTTGATCAATTTTCACACAAATGTGTGAAACAAAAAATAGTCATACAACATATAAAAATAGAGTAATGTAACTAGAGCTTTTCTCACCTTAGTACAGCTGGCCAATCATAATGTGAAGTGCCAACATTAGATCATGATTTCTAGAAAGATGCTGAAATATTCCCGTGTCTTATGTTAGTAACCTGTATGGGGAGATTTTAACAGAATTTATGTAATTTGCATAGAAGGCAGATAAGGATCATGAAGTGCAGATATTATTCACACACAGTGGAGGGGATTATTATTTGACTTATCTGCTCCACTGCAGATTGTGTTAGTTCCATTTTAATAGAGAGAGAGAGAGAATTAAATGAAATTTATACACTGATTTGCACGTCACCGAGTGACAGTAGTATTTGTATAAGGATTTGATCCTTCAACAAGATGTGATTTAGTACTCAATGGAGAAACCCTGGTCACCAGGTTTGCACACATCTAAAGAAGGATTTCTTTAAATTCTTTAGGTCTTTTTTGGCTGCTGCTTGACAACTCAAAGCTTCAGCTTCCTCCAGAGATTTCCTATGAGGTCTAAAGACTGGCTTAGACTACTTAATGACCTTGATGTGCTTCTTCTTTAGCCACACCTTTGTAAGGGAACCCTAACCCTTGGTAGTGTGTTTTGGGTCACCGTGATGCTGGTTCTTGTCTCCAATTTCACACTGCATGGCTCAGTCCATTGGCCCCTTAATGCAGTGAAGTCGCCCTTAGCAGAGAAACAGCTCCAAACAGTCACACATCAGGTCATACAGCATGTCTCTTCAATCAAACACAACAGGTCAGGTTGATGCCAAAGAGCTTGATTTTGGACTATAGCACTTTCTGCCACGCTTTCTCTGAATCGATTAAATGCACACTGGCAAACATAAGATGGGCCTGTACATGTTCCTTGTTGAGCATGACCCCGTGTTCCCAGCTGCATTTAGATCATTAACAAACTCCTCCCATAATGGGCTGATCCATCACCTTTCTCATGCTCATCCTCACCCCATGAGGCATCATGGAGCTCCAATCACTCATACATACTTTACATAGAAATTATGACTATTTTCCTCCTTACAATGTCTATATTTTGTTGCACGACTGGGTTCAGCAATCATCAAGGAAAGAAAGAAAATCTTGTTTTAATAATTTTGCTGTTTCAGATAAAAGAATACGGACAAATCTCAATTAACGGACACAGGCATTAGATAAATAGTATAACAGTATAACAATTATAAGTTGCTTGAATTTTTAAAATCACAAATATGTATTTCAAACAATATTTGACTATTTGAAAATTTTTCATTATCTGTTTCTAGTTTTTGCTTTTTCATCTTCATCATCTGCCTCCTCCAGCACTACTCTCACCTTCTCATCTCCAGCTCATCCTCTTCCTCCTCAACTTAAGCCTTCCTCCTGAACTGCAGTTGGGTTCGAACATAAGAAATCCTACATGAACACTCTTAATTTGAAACAGTGTCAGTGCTTATTTTGAATAAACAGTGAGATATTAATATGACCAGCAGTTATTCCAGGAAGATCACTCAATTATTGTAGGGTCTACCTTACTATATAAAGCGCCTTGAAGCCATTGTTGATTTGGCGCTGTATAAATAAAACTGATTTGAACTGAACTGAATTGCAATATGCATGCAATAGGATTCTGCTGAGCCTAATGTAGCCTGAAACATCAGAGCCAGCTGATCTCGTTTCTGACTGATATTTATTTTTCTTTCTTCAAAGATTCTGTCTTAATTCAGAGTTTCCTTTTCATTCAGGTAACAACTGAAAGAATGAAATATATTTTGGGTGATGCTGTGACCACATCCTCCAGCATGGACAGCAGTTCCAAGGAATTACACAGAACAAGCAGGAGGAAATTAGTGAGCAAAAGAACATCTGCTTGCCATGCTGCCTCTGAGACTGCAATCTAGATATCCATCTATCCATTTTATTCCAGTTGTCCTATTCAGTAGGATGGGGGTGCTAGAGCTCATTCCTGCTTCACAGGACGAGAGGCAGGATACATCCTGGACAGGTTGCTAATCTGTCATAGGGCACACAGGGAGACCATTTACTCTCACATTCACACCTATGGTCAACTTAAGGTGAACAAACATAAGGTGAATATGGAAACGCCACACAGAAAGGCCTCAGAGTGGATTTGAAGCCAGGACCTTCTTCTTGTGAAAAGACAGTGCTAGCCATTGTACCACCACGCCTCCAATATACATACGCAACAATGAAATGAACTGACCTCCCAGCCCATTGTTCATTCAGTGTGCTGGTTTCACTCATTGTGCAAATGTACTGTTTATAAGGCCGGCGAAACCTGCAGTCAGCTGAGACTGAAGACGTCACCTGCATGAGTGACCAAATGTTTCTCCCACTGAAAACATCCAGATGAACAGAATCAACCTTTCGGGATCAAATAATCTATATTTAATCTTGAAGTAATTAAAAAGGAAAAGAAAAACTGTAATTGTTTGATGATCGGTGAGGTATATATACATTTATGATGTTTTTAAGAGAGATCTGCTGAGAGACCTCAGTGCTCATAAAAATGTAAGAGCACATTTACATATTTTGAGCATACATGATGTGTACTTATAATGTAAACCGTAAATTTCACACTTCATGAATCTACAAGAACACAAATTAATGCACAACAAATTATGCATGAATTTTCCATTTTTATTGATTACATATTTAATCAATTATCTAATTGTTTAATAATACACTTAAGTAATGAGTTATTTCAAAATGATAAATAATGAAGTAGCATAATTTTTAATGAATTATCTTTCTATTTTCTAGTATTTAAGTAATATTTATTACTATTATTTAATAAGTTTATAAACTTAAAGTTTATTTAAGTTTTGCAAGTTTGGTTATTCACCCTCAATGTTTCACACCGCGTTATTTCCTGTTTACTTTTGTGTGTGTCATTGCTGCAACAGGAGCAGCAGTGCTAACAGGTTCAACATAGATCTGACTTTCAGAGTTATCCAAACTTCTTTGGCTTAATTCTGCACTTATTACATTACATTCTCATACAGTGCTGATTAAAAGCTATTCAGACAACACTGAAGGATCTCAGTTTCTCCATCTCCTTCAGTTCCAGTATACACAAATGGTTCTGTTGTGAATTTTACAAGCCCACTTTGAGAAGGTGGGATGGCCATGTTAATATTTAGAAGTATATTTTGTACCTGGGTTTAAGAATTCTGTTTCAGAGCTGATAATATAGGCTACTATGCAAATATAACCACACTCATTCAGCTGTATATTGTGCAGTACTGCAGAGTATGGATAATGTGGCAACAACATAGCAATGAACAGCACAGGTGAAGAAGTAGCTTTGAACACCAAGTAAGCATATACAGCTGAGTATCTGCACAACTTCCAGAAATCATAAAACCTCAACACCATCACAGCATTAAGCCGGGAACAGCTGCCATTATATATTCATTGCCACTCTTGGAATTAAATTCCTTACATCTAAAGTCCGCAACCCATCTGTGTAGCGCTTAAGAGGCACATAGACAAAGAAGTCATCACACATGCATGCTGCAGCAGATTCACTCTCTTGCGAGTAATTATTCTCGAAGATTAAGGATCTTTAAAAGACGGCGACTGGACTGTTTTTTTGAAGATGTTTCATTTCGTATGCATCTGTTGCTAACATGTCGGTGCCAGATACCACAGCACACCATTTGGGATCTAGTGGAGTCCATGCCTCTATGGGCACAGGTTGGGTTGGCAGCACAAAAGAGACCATTACAATATTAGACAGGTGGTCATCCTGTTATTTCTAATAGGTATATAGCTTTTACGATTCAAACAAATCAAAACACAAATTACTGATATAGTGAAAATCCCAACTATGACTTGACCTTGAGGTTATCGAACATTTTAGTAGCTGCACCAATGTTATCAATTTGAAAATCCTCGGTGACTTCCTTCTTGAGTTATAACATTCACAAGACTTTCAGAAGATTTCAGCGTTGAGGGGTAAAAAGGTAGCATACCTAGCACCCAGCAGCTACAGGACAGTGTGTCATATAGTTATGATTTGCACAAAATATTAGCAACAACCTTAACTGTTTTATCAGACGCTAGTTTAGATCAGACAAATGTCATGTTGCTCATTGTCACGTTTTGTACAAAGCATATCCCATCCTCCTCTCCTGTACATTCACATACTGCCTATTCTAAGTAGGGTTGGGCATATGTAAACATTTTCCAGTCGGCAATCGTCAGTCCAACAATTGTCGATAGGCGATATATTCGCGCATGCGCAGACTTTTTGATGGGCGGGGCAACGTAATCATACACGGACTGATTTGCGCGTTTACAAAACAGAAGAAGTCCAAACATGGACGAACTAGTTTCCAAAAACAAAAAACAAAACGCTGTCAGCATTAACGCGGCTTAAGCGCGGTCATCACAATACCAACAGTATGTTACATGCAGCACACGTCAGGGGAAGACTCTAGATACATGCTATGGCTCTGTACCAGATGCATTTAAAGCCCTCCCCCCTCTCAGACCATCACACCGTCCTGCTGGCCCCTGCTTACACCCCAGTCATCAAGAGGATTAAAAAGGTCACCAAAAACATCAAGCAGTGGACAGAGGAAAGTATCCTCACCCTACAAGGATGTTTCGAAGCCAGTGACTGGGACAGCCTTCTTTCTACCTCTGATGACATCGGCGAACAAGTCAACACGGTGACATCATACATCTCCTTCTGTGTTGACAACATTATCCCCTCAAAAACAGTCTCCATCTACCCCAACAACAAACCCTGCATCACCAAGGAACTCAAGGAAATCCTTAATAAAAAAAAGAGGATTTTCTTCTGGATAAAAAGGAGGTCAACAGGGAGGTCAAGAGCGCCATAAAAACTGCTAAACTGGAGTATACCACAGGGGACCTCCACTCAGCCTGGCAGGGCCTCAAAACCATGGCCTCTGTGGATACTGTGGTCACCACCCCCAGAACCATCCAGGTGGAGGGCAGCAACCCCTCCTCCCTCCCTGATGACCTCGCTTTCTACACCAGGTTTGAGACGGACAACATCATCCAGCTTGAGGAGTCCAGATCCTCACTCAAACCTGGCAGCTCTGCATTCACCTTCAGGACTGAGGACGTGGTGAGAGCCCTCAGGAGGACCAGGGAGAGGAGCTCACCCGGCCCTGACAACATCAGCAGTCGAGTTGTGAGGCACTGTGCAGGGCAACTAGGAAGTGTGTTCTGGACTCTATTTCAACACTTAATTGACAGTCACATCGTCCCCCAGCTGTGGAAACACTCCACAGTCATCCCCATCCCCAAAAGAAACAACCCAAAGTCTCTGAATGATCTTCGTCCTGTGGCCCTCACCTCCCTGGTGATGAAGGCCATGGAGAAGATCATAAAACAGCACATCGTAAGAGCAACTGACCCCCTGATGGACCCTCCAGTTTGCTTACCGTGCACGCAGAGGCGTCGATGATGCAAAACTCTTCATCTTGGACTGCATCCACAAACATCTGGAGCTCCCTGACTCTGCCAGACTTCTGTTTGCTGATTTCTCATCAGCGTTCAACACTCTGCAGCCTCGTATCCTGGCCACTAAACTTTCCATCCGATTTAAAGTTAAAGATAAATAAAGTCTTTCTGATTCTGATTACAATTTTTAACGCTTTCAACCCATCTGGAGCGCAGAAGGAACAAAATTTGGACGATCTGACGAAATGCGTTGGCAGAGACATTTCAGGGATTTTGACTCAGTCTGCGCTCTAGATGGGTTAGTTGTTAATCGCGTTAGTCATGATGACGGCGCGTTAACGCTGACAGCACTAAAAAAATATAAAGTCGGGAATTTGTGATTTCTTTGGCTTCAAACCAGATGAAAGAGGTAAACCTAAGGATGTGACCAAAGCGGTGTGCCACTTGTGCAGACGTATAGTGCGAGCAAAGTACTCAAACACGCCTGACTTGCAAGAGCATGTAAGTGTCAACCATCCGGCTGAGTATGCTAGGCTATCAGCAGCTCCTGCAGCTCCATCAACAAGCATTTGGGCGCACTCTGAGGAGGGGGCATTTGCTCGCAGATGAAAGAGAGTGCTGTTAAAACAGCGCTACTATTGTTTTTTTTCTGTTGACGGCTTCTATTAGCTCCATCATTATTAGCAAACTTACTCATGGCCAAATAAATAAATCAATCGCCCTCGTAAAAACTATCGACGACGCTGAGCTAATCAATATATTCGTCAAAAGTCAGGTAATTCTAGCCAGTAGAATGAAGCTTTGTGCACAGAGGTACCAGCATCATGCACTCACAGAGCAGACACTCTCGTGTGCATGATGGCCTTTTTGGGCATAGCTGCTGAGTTCCACATGCGTGGTTTCAGAGCATTCTCATTCCCAACGCGTAACATGCCAACGATTTGCCACGTCCCGAGGCGTCTCATAGTAACACAAAAGGTAACCTTCCGCGTCCCTATGATACGTTCTGGACTTTGGATGATGCTCCCTGTGTTTTCCAGCTCTAACCCTAACCTTAACCACAACCTTAACTGTATCAGATAGTGCTTTCCAAAGCAAACCATGATGAGAAAGTAAACTAAGTTTACAACAGTTCTCGTGTTTCCAAAGACGTAACATACTGACGATTTGTCACATAGTGTCGGTATGTTACGTTTTGGGATGAGAACGTGTCTGTGGTTTAGTTAGTCTCACAAGTGTTGGTGTTTAACCTGCTCAGAGAAGCGCTGCTTGGTCTGGATCTGATAGTGTTCCTCTGTTGTCACACGGGTGATATTGGCTGTGGCTGCCTGAGGTAACGTCTCCACCTCTTGGATGGCTTCCATAGAAACACTTTGCGGAAGTACCCGGAAGAGTGACGTCACATACATGATGATACTCTTCTTGTCAGGGTGAGCCACTGCCACATCTGAAAAGAGTGAGAAGAGTGAAGTTTATCCTAAATATCACGAGCCACTTGTGATAAATGTCACCTAATATGACAATAGAGCAAACGTTTCTGGAAAAAAAAGTTCTTCAAGACCGAAAGTTGTCTGACGAGGGTGATATGTCCAAACTATAGATATAAAATAAACTATATTCATGTGTGTTAAAATACGACTGCATTAGATAATTATTTTGGCACAGAAGGAATCTTCACTGGAAGATGAGCCTGGTATGAAAACTACAGATCAAAAGAAAGACCCTTCAGTGAGTTCACCAACTACCTGTCCACTGTTCTGACACTCCTGTCACCATAATGTTTTCATTAGCGATAAACATTGGTGTCCATTGTGTCTGTGTGGCATTCAAACCCTTACACATGCTGTGATTCAGAAATAGCCGTCCCATGAAGCAGCTTTAAGGTGAACTGTAAGCTTACATTTGAGTCACTGGAAATAGAGAACTGTTAAAAGAAATGCTTGTCAAAAAATTGTAAACTGCCAACAAAATACTTTTGTTCAATTCAGATTAAAGCTAAGAACCATCATATTCAGTATGTAGCATAACAGCAAGTTAAATAAGCAATAGGTGACTCCACTCAGAAAGTCTTCATTCAAAAACGTCACTTTTTGGCATCTAAGGAGCTTGGAAAGAAAAGCGTCTGGACTTCTTTAAGTTACTTGAAGACGTTTCACCTCTCATCCGAGAAGCTTCTTGGTGGAGAATCCCACTTTTAAGCCCCATGGGAGTTTCCCCCAAGCGGGCCATGGACCCCCTATTGATCCTCTACCTAATCACACGAGCCAAGGTGTGAAACTGGGTGTGGGTCACAATCAGCCAGGGCTTCGGGTGAGCTCATTGTGAAACCTGGCCCCACCTTATCATGTGATTTACTGAGGTCAAATGGCCCAGGATGTGAGTGGGCGTTAAGGCGTCTGGGAAGGATCTCAAAACTGGATTATAGATGGCAGACAGTTGGTGTGGTAAGCCCCGCCTCCGTTCAAAGATGGTCGCTCACAGTGGACATAGATGCTTCTTTCACTCCTCTTTCAAACCAGATGCTTTTCTTTCCAGGCTCTTAAGACTACGATGACCTGGATGATTGAGGTCATAAGTGATGTTTAAGTGATGTTTAGCTCAAAGGCGTCGACATGCCACAAAGCTAAATCCAGTAACCCAGGCTATGTCCACACTAATCTTCTTTAATTTTAACATTCTTTCCTCTCCCGTCCACACTGAGATGGCGTTTTTGCTCATGGAAAACGCAGCGTTTTCATAATGCTCTCGAAAACGCATACATTTCAAAACGGTGCTCACAGTGTGGGCAGCAAAAACACAGACTTTTGGCCATTTTCAAATCTATCTGGGCTAGTGTGGATGTAGCCCCAGGTTCAACTACTACCCAGGGGCCATTGCTACATCTTTTCATTCTGTCTTCTTGCTTTCGTGTCTCATTTTCACTGCACTAGCTAATAAAGATGCCCCCCACCCCCCAAAAATGAACAACAAAAAACAAACAAATAAACAAAATAAATAATTAAAAGAGAGCAATTGCTGTGGGGCAAATGAGTGAATCCCATATAAGATACAAAGATGGCACAGTAGTAGGAGAGGAGCAAGAAAAAAGAAAGACGGATGAAGATGGAGTGCTAATGAACTGATTGCTGTGGTGATGTTAATAGAATGATGTGTGGAGTGCAGTTAGCTCACAGCTAAGAATAACGAACAGGACCAAGAGGAAATAGTCTGTGCGGCAAGCTTGCCAGGAATGATGTGTGTCATTGCAATTTGTGAGAGAAATAAAGTTAGAGTATGAGTCACACAGTTGGCTGTGGAATACTGATTTATCACAGAGAAATCTTATGGTGTTATTGTTTCTCTGAGAAGAATAAACAGTTCCATAAATAATGCCACCATCTGCAAGTGTGTGTATACATCCCTCAGTGGTTTAGACTCTGTAAGTCCAATCTGTGATCTCCACTTTAATCATTTTACCACGGCTCTGCTACATATGTATGCATTTTTATGAGGTATTGTGGGAGTTTGTGTCAGTGTATACTGTACTTTTCAGGAGTGTATAAGCGTAACGTATGTGTGTCTCTATGCCTTGAGGTAATTAAATCTGTCTCAGTAACCTCGCATTATGAAACTGTCATTAGTGTGTATTTAAACAATTCTTCAATTTATTCCTGAAAAAATATTTGATGAAATATTTTCAGAGACTAATATTTATTCCTAACAAATCCTTTCATTTAGTTCGGGACTTTGCTGAGTCCTGAATGAAATGTTCAGAAAAAATCTGAAAACAGTTTGTGGGAACTACATCTAACCAGTATTCCACAGTTTGCTAGTGTTTTTTGGAAAATATGGCTTCCAAGAGATAAAGTTTCCGACCTGAGCTGCATTGCTGCAGCTGGATGTGCTTTAATGGCCGGCTGAAGAAGAGAACAAAGACAACAGTGCAAAACAAATGAAAAGAAAGAGGAATTAGAGAGAAACACCGGTGAGAGAAATACACAAAAGACAAGACAAACAGTGGGAGGAGAAAAAGGAAAAAAGTACTAATGAAATCAAGAACAGGATTATATGCAGGATAAACGCCCTATGAAGGTCTTCATCATATAAATACAGCTCTCAAAATTATCAGCAACGTATAAACTACAGTGATTAAAGTTGAATTCTTTTAGTGCCTTTTTAAAATCACAACAGTGTGCTTTATATGCACAACAAGGAAGTTCAAGGGCTTTTGAAATTCCTTTGAGTAAATATTAAACCAAAGAAAACATTTTCTATGATACTGACAAGAAACCTTTTCAGTGCCAATAAAAGCTAGTCACATCACATACTCTGCAGTAGTGTTCATAATGTGCCTCTTGATCACCACTGAGTGAGCTGACTGTTGACACCTCAGAAGCTGGTAGCATACTCCTCAAAAACAGAAACTGTACATTAAACGGACTGTCTAAGGACTGGAAGTCCACTCACTTTTCTTTTGCCTTGTTCAAGAGTTATCGCATCTACAAGATTTTCACAAATTTGACCTCTGAACTCTGACCTTGAGGCCAAGGTCACTGTGCTTCAAACTCATCCAAGAGTCTTCGTAGATGCACATATGGTATCAATATGAAAATACTGACCTCCTTCTTGAGTTATCACATTCACGCGATTTTCATGAAAACTTGATCTCTGAGCTTGAGGTTGTGGTCACTGAGATTCAAACTCAGATTTTTAGTAGATACACCTATGGT